AGGGCGAGGCGAAGAAAGAGGCTCGTCAAGAGCACTTTCAAACTTGGGGAACGATAGCATCTTCGCAATCCATTCAATGAAGCGTTGGTGATAGAAGACTGAGGTTGGTCTGAGTTTGTTTCTGGCCGAAGAACTAGGTACGTAAAGAGGGAAATCACAGACTATTCGAAGACTCGAAGAAGTTTTCTTTGGAAATCGAAGATGGTCGCAGTTAGTGATAAGAGGCTCATTGATTTGATCGAGTAATCCATGAAGTTTCCGGCATACATAGCAGCAGAGATTAGTGACTAAGTTGGTGTTTAAGCGAAAAGTCTTGATGAGTTTGTCAAGTGTCAAAGGGATTTCTCGTAATATCTTCGATGCCAGGGGATTGTCGCCTAGAGATTTCTTGACCTTTGATTGTTCCATCTTAAGGGCAATGCGAGAACCTCGTACACTCTTGTGCTCAATGAAATGGTCATGCAAAACATGAAACATAGATTGAACACAGTGAGGATGCTGTAAAAAAGTGAGAGGGACTTTGAACGGTTCAGTGGAGAAAGTTAAGACCGTCGGTAGCCCATTTGGAGTTTGAGTAGTTGATATAGATAGCTCGACGGGATTTGGACTAGTAGTTCGTGGATTCTTGTGAGGTCGAAGATTAATATCGTCACTGCCATTCTCACTATGAGGTGCCGGTGAATCTGAATGCTTTCTTTTTTTGGTTTGAGGATGTTGATAAGATTGAGCTAAAGGTGGTTGCGATCTCAAGGCTCCACTTCCCCCCTCAAGAAGCGGATCTTGTTCATTTGCGTTTAAAGCTGTTGATTTATGAAGATGTTTTGGGTAGTTTGAACGGTTGAATAGCTTCCCAACGTAGGTGACTCCCATGTATTCGAAACTTTCGGTGTTACACCCTAGAGGAACGCAGGTGCAACAGAAGTGATTTCGATCGATTTTTGCCATGCTTGCCCTTTGAGAAGAAGATAATCGGATTGTGGTTTTTGCAAAAGGTACAATCTGATCAGTCTGAGTTTACTTCTAAAAGGTCTTGAGGAAGACCCACGATTGGAACCTTCTGAAAAACTTTTCCAAAGACGATGTTGAATTTCTTGGCTGGGTATCTAGTTTGTTAATCGAGCATTTGTGGAAATCGTTTGAAGACTCAAAGTGAAGATGATGGACAGGTTTACCCTTTTGAAATTCAGACAGGGTGAAACAGTTGAAAGGGCAATAATGAAAAATATCCGCTCAAACGGATATCTTGGCAGCAATCACCCTTCGTTTTTTTGATTTCTCCACATATAGCTTCTTGATTGTTATGATCACACAGACCCATGTGAGGATGAGATGGCTTTTCTCTAAGGCATTTTTGGAAAACTTTGACCTTGTCGTCCTTTTTTGAAAGCATGAGACAAATCTCACAAAGGATACATTTCCAATTGAAGTTACCCTTGAAATCATTTTTCTCACATTTCACACTATTCATCAACAACAAACTAAACATCCGCTTGACAAATAGGAATGAGTACGTCAAAAATGCAGCATACACAATCCAAATGAGTGTAAAATATTTGTAAAGATAGAAAACGATAAAGATAGAAAAAAACCACTGGTGTTTTGAACAGGAGGAAAGAAAAAACAAAACTATTTACATAACCAAAGTAATCACAGCCACCCTACTTTGAACAAAGAGATAAAAAGCAGGCTACCAGCGCCATCATTGAGTCATCATTGGTACCTGAGTTGAACTTGACGCTTCACTACTACTCGGTTGTCCACCTACACGAGCAGCCCCCCTTGGCAATACTAAATTAGTCAAAATCTCGATTGATTTCTTAATGTTGATTGAATCAGCCTTCACTAGTTTCAAGTTTGCAACTGCGATGCCTGACATCTTATCAAGCCATGCATTTGACACAAGAGATTCCTGGAACTTTTGAGGTGGAAAAGTATCCGGATCGTTTGAAGTGTATGATCCACGATCAATGATGGCCTTTGCGCGAGCCTTCTTCCTTGGAATAGTCTCCTGCCCTTCGATAAGTTGATCCACGAGGTTGACAAAGGTATCGAGTGGTCCGCTACGCCATTCCAGTCTGGTTTTGCACCGTGATCCCGAGCCGTTGACAATCACTACTTCATCTTCAGAGTGCACCTCCGGATGAGATAAGAGTAAGTATTCGGGTGACGCTCCACCAAAAATACCTTGCGCCAGTTCCAGGCGCGCCGTGTGAATCTATTTTGAACAAATAGATAATCAACAACATATATAACATCTGCATAACCAGGAAAACAAACAAACTTACTCTAGTTTTTGCTCGCCTGCGTCTATCCTTACTCTTGGACATTTCGCGCAACCGATCTGCTTGCAACCTACCCTCAGGTGTTTGTGACATTAAACTCAACTTTTCTTGTTCGCGAAACTTCGGAGCCTGATGCTCGCACCACCGTCGGATAATCTCAATTCGGTTTTCAGGTGTATTTCCAGATTCTACAATTCCAAAAGCCTTTGTACCGTGAGCTTCGTGACACTTCTCCCATTCCTGAAGGATGATCCGCGACATGGCTGTGTTCCAAGGAGAATCCGGTTTGCCGTTCCAGTCAAAAGTGCAACGAGGAAAGCCTGCCAAAGCCAGTGCACCTTCGCATAGAGTTCCCCACCGATGATCGTACCTTGATCCAAATTTAAACGAGAGACGAGAGGCGAACTTAACAGGACACAATGGAGCCGAGAGCATTTCCTTCTGAGCAGAATCTTTCTCAACAGTCCTGATTTGCTTTCGATTCGGTTTGAAGTCGGCAGGTTTCTTTGAGAGGTATTTTTTCACAGCACGGTCCATTGCGTTCTTGATAGCGTCCTGACGAGACTCCTGACGAGTTGCCCAATTGCGAACTTCATCTTCGGTCGGTGGATCAGGGAGGGAAGGTTCGGAACTAGAAGAGGTTGAGCGTGATTTCCGATACACCCCAAGCATCATCTTCACATATTCTTGAATGGCTCTAGCTAAGGCAGTTGCCGCTCCAGGTGTCGAATGCGAGTTGGCCAATAGACCGACCATCGAATCGCGGTCTCGCTTTTCCTGTGCCAACTTTCGCCCTGCCTTCAGTTTGCGCTTTCGACTGGCTATTTCAGCAGGAGTGAGTTCACCATCTGGTCGGAAAAATCTGAGTCAGTTCAAGCCCGTTTTTAAAGGAACAGTGCACTACTTACCTGAGTCGCTGTCGTTGGGATCCACAGAGTCATCAGAATCATAATTGATCGGTGGTGTTCTCTGTCGCGGGCTGGAACCATCTGAGAAACCAACACCTGTGTTAGATTCTAGATCTGAAGTCTGTGGATTCAAATCACATCGACTTACCATCATCTACCCTTTGCCGTTTGCTACGACCTGTGACAAGTGAAATGAAATAATAGAAATCAGGACCAGATTCAATTTGGATATAGTTCAGCCAGACACTGACCATCAGTATTTTGCTGTGTCCCAGTCGAACTTGTGCTACTCAAATCAATCTCCATTTGCAGAAGGTGTAATGAATTTAATGTAATGAATTTAATATGTGGTTGACTATACGAAGGAAGTTTGAATATATTATTAAATCAGAAAGAGAGACCGTAGGAGACTGTGACCACCAGGATCAATAAGATGACTCGAGAAAAATTTGAAAAGAACTTCTGGCCAGCCAGTGATGATGAAAGATACGACTGAGACGAAGAAAAAAAAGAAATAAAAATCAGATCAACTGTGAGTTAAAGAAGTGAAATTTGAAGGTGAAGGAGAACGATAGCTTTGAGATGAAAAACAGAAACCTGAACTCACGGCCACATCTTAAAGTTAACCTATGCCGAAGATCTTGTTGACTGTCCTTTCAGGATGCGGGTCTATCAAAGGCATCAAGCACAGACCACAGATTCTTACCTAGCATCAGATTTTGTGAGCACAACGGCATTCGGCGAGTTTAATGATCGCTTTTGCCACACAGAGCCAAACTTGTTCTTTCTTTGTTGAGGATATTTACATATTCAATTTGATTTAAATTTCGTCTCTGAGATTGATCCTTTTTGTTGGTTGAGCCATTCTTGTAGCTTGGGTCCGACAAAGAACTGAACCCATACACGGACATAATCAAAAGCAAAGTATTACGGAGTGGCATGAATAGATGGATAACAAGGAGATTGAGAGGTGAGCAGACCAAGAGTGAGATATAACATTAGTAAGGCAGCAGGCTTATCATCAAGACCGCCACGAAGACGGTACTGGTATCGTACGGTGACCAAGTCGATCGGGTTGGAAAATCCGAATGATCAGCTGAGCTGGTCTAACGGATCAAGAAAAACACCAAATCTTGAACTGTTTTCAAGACTACACAAAACCGTAATTTGATATTATCATGAAACAAAATATACTCACCCGAGTCATTTGATTGAGTGCTCTATGAACACTGTAACCTGAGAAGGGATGAAGATTGAAATTGAGATCACGACTCTTTGGGAATTGATGAGAATGTTCAAGAAAAGAGTCTGTGATTTTACGGGGGGCTAGGAAGGCCTAGGAACAAAGGTGCTAAGCTGTAAAGTCCTTTCACAGGAAATCTGGGGTTATTTCAGGATGTTTTGAAGGATGGCACGGCTTGCTCTCGTCGTTGAGAGCACCTCAGGCGGACAGGGTGCCTAGAGCAGGGTGACCAGTATGTCCAGCTTTGGGGCAGAAAAAGACTCACTTTGTACTTTACAACCTATCAGCATGACATGTCATCATCTGAAGATATTCTGCGCTGTTTTGCTTTTGTGGCACTGGTGTGTAAATTTTTGCTGTGCAGCTTGCTTCAAAGTCCTCACGCTGCTTCATGCTTGTATTCGGAGACAATTTTGACATTCATGCAGGCGACTTCAAAGTTCAAGATGGCAAATGCCAAATGTTAATCCTCGTTTATCCAAGTTTCGCTTTGCCTTTGATTGCAAATGAAGTGAATAGATGACTTGAACTTTATGCAACGTACAATAACTTTTACCCGCTCACTCCCGCTCACACTCAAGTCAAAGTTCATCCCATCAAGCTTCCTGCCTCACCGGTGTCCTGCCTTGAGGCTTGCATTACAATTTACGATTTAAGGATTCCGAAGCCTTAATTTTTTTCTGGAATCGACTTTGGAATGTCTAAAGCTTATATTGAACCGATCCCGACCGATCCCAACAGTTTCAACTGGAAATATCTAATCGTCAGTTCTGGTCATGAGTATCGTAAGTAAAACACTGCGGATCATAGCGGATGCATGCTCTATAGACTCACTTTTCGCCCTGTTGCTCGTAAACGGGAGACAGGCTACATTGACCAGAATGAACATGCCAAAGACGTGGTACTTTGCCTTCATGGTTTTGTATGTACCCTTTCCGACCTCGTTCTGCACTGTGGTTCTCATCGCTCGACTCATCAGAGAGCATCATTTGCTATCCTTAGCCAGATTTGTATGCCTAAAACCATTCTTTATCTAGGCGACTTTGAGGGTTCGTTTTCTTATGTGGTCTCGTTGACTGTCATAGAGCTTTCGGTTGGCGATATCAAATCGTGGAATTGGTGCGCCGAGGGTATCGAGTCATTGCACCAGATCTTCTTGGGTGAGTGATTTGGAATCACACAAACTCAAAACTATCTGTTTACTCATCTCATCAACTTTTGATATCGTTCTCTTTCAAGGTATGGTGGCACTGTGAGACAATCCCTCATCTATTTCGGTCGTCTCCATGTACTCAAAACCTGAATCGATCCACAAACATCAGTCTAAGCCAACAGAAATCGAACCATACACATTCTTCTGCATGTCTACCTCTGTTCGAGAAATCTTGGACCACTTGAAGGTAAACAAGGTAGTACTTGTTGGTCATGATTGGTATGTGAATCTTTAAGCCTAATCCTTCATTTTCCTTCATCTTACTTACTCAACTCGATTTCGGCGGCAATATGACCATACCTACACATGTCTATGTAGGGGAGCCCCATTAAGTGGTCGGTTCCTACTTTACTTCCCAGAACGCATTCGGGCTTGGGTGACGTAAGTATTTTGTACACCTGTGTTTATATTCTCTGGTAAGGAGCTTTATACCACTGGTTTAAGTATCTTCATAATTAATTCTATCAGAATTTGTGCTCCACCGAATCCTGGTCCAAAGCCGGGTGCAGGGTTGGTAGATTTACCAACTGCGATAAGGAAGAATATACCACACTTTGGGTTAGTAAAACTTCCATATGAGTTTTACCATGCTTTTGACTTGTTAACAAGAAAACTGATCTAATGGGGTATGAATATGATAGTTATCAGCTTTATTTCATGAGTGAAGCATCAGGAAAAGAGCTAACACGTTGGGCTAAGACCTTTCTGCTTGTTGTATATTGCCATATGGCTCGTCGACTGAGCAGTCCAGAGGCTCGGAAAGTAGCTGCATCAGCCGCGGGTCGTAAACCCTCATACGTGCTCGAGGGAGTTTTTCGTGGGCGATTGATGGAATCTAAAGACTTACTCGAATATGCAAAGGTTGATGATCCGGTCAGTTGAAATATCACGACTTAGCAAATGAACATCGAATTAAAGGAATATTCCTTTTCTAAATAGGAAACTGAATACTACATAAGTGAGTTCCGTCGTGGTGGATTGATGGGTCCAGTAAATTGGTACAAGGTTAGTGTAAGACTGATGAAAAAAATGGAAGTGAACTCAAGATTTGATGAATGATTTTTGCCTTTGTAGACTCGTGTCCTTAATCATTCAGATGATTTGGGTAAGCATGCATCAATCAAAATGATTGCAAAGAACTTGTCTGACTCACTGATGGTAATCTGTGCAGCTTACAATGTACCAGACACTTTCCCCAAAAATATCCCTAGTTTATATATCCAAGCCACAGAAGATGAAGCCTTACCTCCAAGACTTGTATCAGAATCACAACTAGATGAACGTTTTCCCGGAAGAAATCTGAAAGTCATCCAAATCAAAGGTGCTAATCATTGGCTTCTACAGGTTCGTAAATCTGATAAATGTATAGACACAAAGATTTCAAAATTCACAAAGGTGTGGTTTTTTAGGATCCGCAATATCGAGATAAGTTCACTGCTGAACTTTGTAATTGGATTGATAAACAAGTAAAGGTTTTCAAGCCTAAGTTGTAAGAGGTAAGAATCTATGCAGATGGATTGCATCTACAGCCCTTTTTGGCATGTTACCTAAATGATGTGATGTGATTGAGGAGCAGAATGTGTTGTAAACTTTCATTTTATCCAAAAAGCCGTGATGAGATTGATCAAAGGAGATTTGTGTTAGAATTGTAAAAGAGATCTGCATGATGGATTTTGAAGAAATACATGCTTGTTGAAATTTCATTTTACAGTGTCGGAATAAGTTTGTTGAGGGTATGTGGTGCACACAGGAGTGCAGTTGAGATAAGGTTTGTAAGCATAGTGGGTGAAGTAGAACAAGACTTTTCAAGCTCAATAATTGATCTCTGATTCTTAACAAGAAGTTCAATCAGAAGAATGGAGAACCAAAGCATTGTGATCAAACAAGACAGACTCTTATGTTGTTATTTTGGCTCATACTTTTACTGAAATCATCTCTGATCACCCACAGTTCATTTAAGGTATGTGAAGCAAGTCAGCAATGGTGTATACCAAGACTGCAACTAGCTGCAACTTGTAGTTATATAAGATTGATGTTATTGATGTGTCCATGGGTAGAGACTCCAATTGGTACATAGTGAAGCAAAGCTTTGTGCATGTTTATTATCTGAGGCAGTTATCCTTTACAGATTTATGGGAGCTAGATCTAACTGAATGTGAATTCCACAGTAGGCTAGCTGGATAAAAAGACTGCAATTAGCTGCATCTTAGAGGTATAGGAAATCAGTGTTGGCAGAAGTAGACATAATAGAACAAACTTCTCCACCTGTCTAAGTCATCTGAGGCAGATCACCTATATATATATTTATGGGAGTGAGACCTGATTGAATGGGGAGTTTACATAGCAGCTGGACCATAACACCCAAGGAGCAATGCAATATGTTGTGTTGTGTTTTGACTCTGTTACAGCCTCACAGAATTTTTGATCATCTTATCATGGTTAAGACAAGAGTTAAGTGTTGTAGTTCCAAGATTGTACTGTTGTATCAGTTTGTCAAGTCAATATAGATTGGAGAAATTCACAAGAGACATCTAGTTCAGTAAAAGAGATCCATATGTATAATTTTGCACCTCACTTAACAGTGAAATTGAGCAGGCTCCACTGCCTCAAAAGCTTATCAACTTCCTATGTGGGAAGTTGGCAAGCATGGGTAGCTTTTGACGAAAAAGAGGTAGCAACACAAACTACCTCTTGTTCTCACTCCAAAAATTAGTTTTCTTCAAAAGGTCTTTATCTGAAAGTGAGCTGGAATCAACCAAAACAGTTGTCAGAGTTTGACAATAGATTGAGTCATCTTCACACTCAAATCAAGTCTATCATCCATTTAGGGGATACAAAGTTAAAAACTGGGAGTTTTCCCAGTTCCCAGTTCCCAAATACCGCCAAAAACACAAATTGGGAAACTGGCAGAACTTGGGAAAGTTCCAAACACAGCCAAAAACAAAAACTGGGAAACTGGGAAAAAAATCCCAGTTTTAACTTTGTATCCCCTAATTATATGGTGGACTCCCAGGCTGAATCAACTTCACCCCAACCTTGACCCTGATGTGAGTCTAATAAATTTCTGAGAAGCAAATGCTTGTATGTACGTGTTTTTTTGTGAAAATCTTGATTCTTTTGAAGGTCAGAGTATGTCAAGTTTTACAACAGGTGTGGTCAAAGGGTTGGAAATTGAATCAAATAGAAACTTGAGAGACTTGCAAACCCTTCAATACGGAGAATTTTCTTTACTGAAGTACAATTTTTGGGAAACTGTTTTTAGGTATAAATGGAAAACAAAACAAGAGGAGATGTTGAATGATGAAAACAAAAAACTGTCCTTTGTTGTATGATTCAAGCTTAAAAGCCTTCAGGATTTGTTTTTACAACTTGTTTTGGTTTAATATCAAACTCTAGTCAAATATATTTTGGTAAGTTTGACATCATTCATAGAAGGAATTGGTTTTGGTACATTGAAAAAAGAAGAAGAAAAGGATAACGAAGAATTTAAGGTATTCATATATTGTGGTTCGGTTTCAGAAGTTTTTGATGTTGATGTTGGTTGAACTTGTACCTGAGATGTGAGTGGTGTTGATAAAGGTTCTGAAGTTGAAGTCCATTTTGGATCTTTATCTTCATTATCATCTTGAATATCTTCTTCACTTGAAGAAGATTGACAAGGCCCAAATGGATATCCTTCTGGTATTGTGCCATCGTGAAACCAGGATCGATAGAGTACTGCAACCTGGGAAGAATGTCAAAGAGATGAGATTAGAGCAACATTCAAGAAAAACAAAGCTCAACATACTGCATGTTTAAGTGGCAGAGGGGTGATAAAGCGTCGATCGGGGTCTTTTAGTTGATCTGCTGTTCTTAGAAGCTTTGGAAATTTATGACCAAAAAATACGTCGCCAATGGAGGAACAAAAATGAAGAAAAATCGTTGGTTAGTTATCTGTCCCTCTCGTATTCAGTTTGATTTACTTGTACATAGAAAATGCAAAAGAAGACAGATGAAAAACTGAGGAAACCTGTCGCAAATTCGGATGATCAAGAATGTGAAAGAAAGAAAAAACTACTTGATATCCGGATGAAGATCCAGGTTCTGTGAAAAAGTTTGAATAAAAAGGGAAAGGATCACCAATTACAAAAATCAAGTGTAGACGATTGAAATACTATCATTATGTACTTTGAAGTTTATTCAAGTTAAGAAGTCCAACAAAGAAATCGAAATCTCTCGCGAGATGAAAATGAAAGACATCAAAGAAAAAAATCAAAACAAAAAAGAAGTTTACGTACTATTTGTTTAGGAATATCATTACTATGATTCAATTTAGCTTGAACATCATAAGAGTTTACTATTCTTTCAAATGCTACATTGAACTTTTCTGCTACCTGTTGATCCCTTTCTATTATGACTGAATTCGATGATGAAGGTCCACGAATCTGATCAGATCCTGATGAAGTGAATGAGGGTTTAGATCGAAGCCAGTTTTGTCGATCGGTCTCCCATCGAATAGAAGTTTCAGCGACGATGTTCTTTAAGTCATCAACATCAGTATGGTTTGAGTTCGAATTCATGATTTGCTTAAGAACGTTTGAAGGATAGCATAAATCTTGCGAAAGAGAGATGAACTGGACGTTTGGGCTTTTTAAAGATTGTTCAAGGGCACTGGGAGCGAGCTTCCAGGATGATTCCAGATACGAGAACAGGTTACAGGTCCCACGTGACGTAGCTCCGACGAATGATGGGCAAGCCTTCGCGTCGCGCGTGAATGGCACTCCTCCTGTGCTCTAATCCTCAATACCTTTTGCAATGAGGAAGCTATTTCCCCTCAGAACTGATGATTGTATTGATCAAGTGGATGATCTCGATTCTCGACCTCCAGTTCTTCCCACCTTGTACTTATGCAGTTCATCTTTCCAAAGTATCTAAATTCTTCTCATCAAAAGCATTCTCAGGATTTGTCGAGATCTTCTATTTTTTCGATCGATTCATATCAATTTTTGGTCCCGCCCACCTCTCCCTTTTCTGTTTTTTATCCGCCCCATAGCGGACCTTTTTATTACTTCTGGACCAATTTGTTACAAAACTGTTCTCTATAGTTTCGCAATTCTAGCTAAAAACATCTCATCGTGAGTTTAGCTCGAATCACCCAAGCAACCATCCCTATTCTTTGATGTGAATTTCAGGTCCTGTCTTGTCGTTCAACTTGTTCCTTTTATCTGAAAAAATATGTGAGAGTACAAACCAAACCTGGCTTCAATTCTGTACTTGAGTATCAAGTGAAATATTATCAAGAGAAATATTTCCAGATGATTCATTCAGAAAGCAGACCTCTCACACCAGTATGAAGCACAGTGCACTGCTTCTTTTGCCACCATCTATGCAACTTGATACAACTAACCCCTCTGGTGACCATCCAGCACCAGTGAATTAACTGGGAATTTGAAATCTTAATCTTGATGACAAGATTTCGTTATCCCATTGGGTAGGAAGAATTACCAAATGAATTGAGAAGGTGACATTTTGAGGGAGCTAACCTTTGCATTGAGCACCCCAGGCACTCCCTACTTGTAGTGACTGGGCTGTGCTCAGAGGCTAGGACCCGGCCCAAACCAGCCTTCACAAACTAAGCTGTTTTGGCCTCTTTTTCTTTTGGCGGCCAACCTTGCCCAACCTGATTGAAAAAATCTCCTGTGTGGCAAAGCTACAAGGCAAGTGGTGATTTTAGGTGTAGTATATTGGCCGTTAAAATCCCTTTCCTGTGCTTTTGGTGTTCCAATGCCACCTTGCTGAGCCTCTCAGATCACCTTTCATCACCACCAATCCCTCAAATCCCTTTGTTTGGGCCCTTTTGGCTGGCCCAAGAGCACATTCAGAAGGCCAAAAAATCTTGTTTGCGGTTGGGTGGCCCTGGGGCCGGGATCAAGCCTTACTGTGCTATGAAGTTTTAACCTTTCAAACAAAGTGACATCAATTTGATATACATCAAGTTATATCAAGTTCTGATGAATGAGGGTGGAAGTTTCCAATTTGTGCCCATGTAATTTGCAGGGTGTCTTTTGATGTCATTTTGCACTTCTCCCAAGCATCTTCAGTATCTCTCATTCACAGTTTCCTTTGAAAAAATAACCCTCATTAATTATAGTGCTCAACATCAAGACTGGCATAGCACTGAGATTTTTCAAAATCTAATAATGGGGCCAATTTTCACTTTTTTGGGTTCTGATTGAAGTTTTAAAATGGGAACTTTGGCAGCTAACCAAAATTGTTGGGATTTGATCATCCCATTTAATCTCAAAAATGGTGTGAGATTGTCAATGACCAAATCTATTATTTTCAAGAAGTTTGAAGTAAAAATAATATACAGTGGTAGGTTGGGTGGCACACAGTCATTTGAGATACAAAAAAACAAAAGAAATTTTACATATATGAGGACAGTTTCAGATCTCATGAGAAAAAACCACAAATGTCAAGGAAGAATGTAGAAAGTTGCTCATGAGCAGCCAGTGTGGGTATCCATTTCAGACCCTTTGATGAGACCAATACACATAGATTGGGTGAGGGTGATTGTGGTTTGTATCTCTTTTTTGTGGATAAGTATTAATATCATTGATTCAAACAAAACACATCAAAAAAAGTGTGAATGACTTGTAGAACTGACATGTACTTCAGTTGTATACCATCAATGTGTTGGAAGAAATGCCTGATTGTGCGCAGTGAACAAGACACTCTGAGTTTTTTGCATCAAGATTTTTGCTCCTTTAGTGATTTACAGGCATTATTCTCTTTGTGATCTCCCAAGAGAGAAAAGAAGGAGAACCACAACTTGATTATCTATCCAGCTTTGCCATGTTTGAATGATTGCAAAGTACATATGTTACCTATTTAAATAATCTGGCGCAAGAGGTCAAGGATTTCTGCAGAGGTGGATCCAGGCTTGCCAGATTTGAAATGGGGAATCCATGCAAGAATTATATATACTTTAAATATAAATTCCCATTCTTCCAATTTAGGGGTAAAAGCACTGGCCATTCCAAAGTTATGCTGAGGTCAAATGGTCCACAAGGGGGCAATGGCACATTTGAGATGGTGCTGAAACAAATCCAGTTTGTAGGGGGTGAACAATACTCTGAGTGTAACAGCTTGTACTGTGCTGTTCTAGAGTTATTATCCAACAATTGGTTATTTCTCAAAAGAAGTGTTATTGTTATTCATGAGGAACTTGTTGATAGCTTTCAAAAATTGGTTCAAAACTCAGTTTGAATCTTGCCAAAGACAGATGGAGATCTTTCTGATGACTGGGAAAGATCTGTATGATGACTGGTTGAAATATGGTCCCCAGATTGTTGCAAGGGGGCTGCAAATGTTCATGATGATCAGCGGTCAAGAAATGAAAACCAAAGAAATTACAAGGTTATTCACATTTTTGATGAAACACCAATACATTTTGATAGGATTTATTTAGCTTGCAATGGTGCTATGATAGGAACATAAATAGACACCCCGCCACCTCAATAGTAATTTGAATAATTGGCTTCTCCTGAACAAAGAACAATTGCATTGAAAGAGTTTTGTGCACAGCTGTTGATTTAATTGTGATCAACTGGTAGCTTGGGCATCTTGCCTGGAAATTTTTCAGGGAAGAAAGCCCAGACTGTTTGAGGAGATGTTCAGCTCAAGCAAGTGCATCCTTTGGAATTCCTTCAAGTTACCTCTTCAACCCAATTTCATCTTACCAAGCCATTGCTTCAATGTGGCAGATTGTGCTTCAGTTTAAGATCTTTTGTTCATGGAATTTGAAGATTACCATTGTAGTGAAAGAGTTGAAGTTGAAGTTTGAGTACAACAAGAGAATTCGAAAAAACAAGTTTGGAAGCTGCAAAAGCGATATTCACAATTGAATTAAACATGAGGAAATAGAAAGGTACAGGAAAAATTGTAAAAGAAAAAAATGAAGGGTTTCCAACACGTGAGAATTGTAATGCAAATAAAAGATATGGTTAAAAGTTCAATTGTTGAACTTGAACATCAAGGGAAATATATAAACCCATATCTTTAAAAATGTTCACCACATTACAATATGACTTGGTAACAAAATGGACTGGATTAGTGGGTTGAATAACAGAAAAACTACAGCTGTTCAACAAGGAAAAATTCTTACTCACATCCAAATATTCATTCTAGAGCTCTACGTGGCAATCAACTCAAGCCGTCAAGTTCATAATCTCACTCAGATTTAGTCACCACTTCTTCGCACTTGGATGATAGGTGCTAGCAGACCTGACCCAAATAAAGAACCCCATCCTTGAGTTGATAAATTCCTCAATACTAAACTCGATGATAATAGAATGAAACTTGCACCCCAAAATCTTGGCCCAACTGAAGTGAAGAGTCTCCATTGTCACCGACGTAATCGTAATTCTACCCACGCTATCTCGTAGTTCATGATGTTCAGTCCAACCTTGACCTCGTTTGCCCAGAAGATGATGATTTTCTCAACTCGACTTGACACAGGAACCTTGGTAAGCCATTTACATGAAGAGATGCAATGTGACCGGTTGGAAAGAGCTTCATCTCAATTGGAGTGCACATTCAAGTATCCTGAACAAAAGTTTAGCAAGTGTGAAGATTTCACCACATCAAGCTACGTGGCCCAACCTATTCAAATGCCCTTCAGCCAAGACAGCACTTTATTCTCAACTGTCGGGTTTATGGCACCACAAAACGATTATGACGCGCCCTGGCGGAACGGTCCAGCCGTGCGTGACTGCATTCCTGATAAGGCGTGCCGAACACCTGAGATGTCACATGGCTTTGCGGAGCTGTCACGTGGATGTACGAAGCTGTCACATGTAATATGTGCTGTAACTTTGTTTTTACCCACATCTCGGCCTGAAGTGATGAAGAAAGGTACCGAGGGACCGAGTGCGAAGTGTAATTGATTGAATTTGAAAAGCTTTAGTCGTTGACCATCACCATCGACCGCAACTCACCAGACGAAAGAAGTTTTCTACAAACTTCAAACTCTGGACAACTATACTACGACATTGTATTGGATTTTCATTCTTTAATTCATTAATCAAAATGGCTACCAAAGGACTTAAAGCAATCGCACCGGTTCCAAATGCAACCGATTTTCTTGATATCATCTTATCTAAAACTCAAAGAAAAACTCCTACTGTCATTCATAAAGGGTAAGTTCCATTAAAGCACTTCATTAGTTTGTTCTTCTTTTTCCTAGTTACTGATATATATGCTTTTTCGTATTTTTCTTCAGTTTCAAGATTGGTAGGATCAGGTCGTTTTATATGAGAAAAGTTAAATTCACTCAAGATGCATTCGATGAGAAATTAGAAGCAATTTTAACTGAATTTCCAATCTTAGATGTAAGTGATAACTAATTCTTTTGATGTTTCTTCAAAACAAATCAAAATTGACTCATCGATAATTTTTTCTGTAATATAATAAAAGAACCTTCATCCATTTTTAGCTTCATTACTTAATGTATTATATGATAAAAATCATTATAAATTAGCACTTGGTCAACTTAATACTGCTAAACATTTGATCGATCAAGTTGGAAAAGATTATTGTAGGTTACTGAAATTTGGTGATAGTTTATACAGATGTAAACAACTTAAAAAGGCAGCTTTGGGTCGGTAAGTCATTATCACATCGTCTGACATTCCCAAACTTTTGATTTGAATGACTGATCGAATGATTTGTTTTTAGGATGGCTACGATTATGAGAAGACAAAAAGAACCATTAGCTTATTTAGAACAAGTTAGACAACATATGTCACGTTTACCTACTATTGATCCTACTACTCGTACTCTTTTAGTTTGTGGTTATCCAAATGTTGGTAAATCGAGTTTCATGAATAAAGTGACTCGTGCGGATGTCGATGTACAACCTTATGCTTTCACTACTAAAAGTTTATTTGTTGGTCATATGGATTACAAATACCTTCGTTGGCAAGTGATTGATACCCCTGGTATCTTGGACCATGTAAGCACTCCCCCTTCCTTCTCTCCCTACTTGACTCGATGAAATGGATATTGATACAGACTTCGCTTTTTGCAAATAGCCTTTAGATGAGATGAACACAATTGAAATGCAATCTATTACAGCTATGGCCCATCTTCGATCATGCATTCTCTACTTTATGGATCTTTCCGAACAATGTGGTTATACAATCGAAGCACAATGTCAATTATTTCAATCGATTAAACCATTATTTGCCAACAAACCGAAATTCTTAGTCGTCAATAAGATCGATGTCTGCAGACTAGAAGATTTAGAACCAGATAGACGAGTATTAATAGATGAAATTTTGAAAGAGAATGACATTGAACTTTTACAAGTATCTTGCTTTAGTGAAGAAGGTGTGATGGAAGTTAGAAATGCGGCATGTGATGCATTATTGGCTCATCGAGTTGAAGCAAAGGAGAAGACCAAACGAGTGGAAAATGTTGCAAATCGGGTTAGAGTCGCTGTTCCTACTAGACGTGATGATATGGTTAGAGAACCATGTATACCTGAATCTGTCTTGAGTAAGAAGAAATACGACGCTCAAGATCCTAATCGAACGATCCTTGAACGTGATCTTGAAGCCGAAGGTGGAGGCCCTGGTGTATATGTTGTTGACGTTAAGAGTAAGTCACTTAATTTTCAAACCTCATTTCTGTCCAAACAGCCTCAACAAAAGTTGATCTCATTCATCGCCTTCTCACAGAATCGTATCTTCTCAGTAATGATGAATGGAAACAAGATAATGTACCTGAGATCATCAACGGAAAGAACATTGCGGATTTCATTGATCCTGATATTTTTAAGAAACTAGAAGAACTTGAAGAAGAAGAAGAAAGATTAGAAGCGGAAGGATTTTATGAATCTGATCATGAAGTGTATGACAGTTTAGGATCAGAAGATGAAGAAGCGATCAAAACGGTAGCAGGATCGATTAAATCAAAGAAGAAAGTTTTAAGAGCTGGACACGCAAGAGCATTACATCAAAGTTTGAATCGAGCGGTGATTGCTAGACCTGATCGAGCCCCTATGAAATTAAGTGATATGATGAATCAAATGAAGAAAGATGGAATTGATACAAGTAAATTAGAAGAAAGAGCTAAGTTGCTTGCTAAAGCGAATAGATTAGCCTATGAAGTTGAAAAGCAAGAAAAAACGAAACGTAAAGCAGAAGATGAAATGGAAGTGGATTCAGATGACGACGAAGATTCTGGATCAGATGGAATGGAGATCGATGGAAATGAAGATAAGAAAGTAATCAAGAAATCTAAAGGATCAGATGGAAAAGAAATTAATATGAAAGGACCACTTGATGTTAAAAGATTACCTAGAAAAGATCGTAGGTTGGCTGGAATTGGAAATCCTACGGAAGAAGTTAAAGCTAGAAGATTACAATTACTTCAACAACGCGAACCTAATCGGATGGCTAAAGCAGGTGAAGCTGATCGACATATTCCCACAAAGTACGTTATCTTGTTTTTTATTCGTTTTGTTCATCTTTTTTCAGTTGCACAAAATATACATCTGTATAATGATCTAGAACAAATTTATTGACGTGATCTTTTTGGTTTTTTTAGGATGCCTAAACATTTGTTCGCTGGTAAACGAAAGTCTGGTAAGACTAACAGACGTTAAGTCAGAAAATCAAAACAAAACAAAACAAAAATACAGAAGCAAGGAAAAGATTTTTCGGATGAGAGATTTGATGGGGTTTTATTTTTCCTTTGTTTTGTATATTATAAATACAGTTTTTGAATATTTGAAGTTTGAAGTTTTTTCGGTGCATTTTAGAATTATAATGAAGTTATGAAAAAAAAACATTGAGGAATGAGTTAAATTTTTACCAACAAAGTATCCTTTGCTTTGTTTTTGATTTGGTGCAAATTGTAGGACTTGTTTTGATTTGTTGTGTAGCAGAAGGGGTTTTTGTTTGAATTGATGTCTTTCAAAGCTCAAGGAGGCCGAGCTTAATGCACCGGATCACGAGCGCGTCCATTGGACTGTTCGTCCATCCACGCTCATGCTGGCAGACACGTAGGATGTGTTGTAGTCTGCTATCACGCCTGCGTGGCACGACCGCGGCGCTTTCCCGATCGGAATCAGAGCCGGCAGCTCCGCGTCAGCTCCGGTTCCGCGTCTATCTCTTGTGGAACTCGCAGCTCTTTGAAGCTGAGCTTGTCTCTTTTTTTTTTTTTAATTCATTGCTTTAAGTGTCATTAGAGCCTTTCGGCTATTAGACACTGCATATGTTTTCCAGCACCTGTAAAACCCCTCTGGCTGTGTCAGGGGAAAGGGTTGCTGTTGGCTGTTTCATCTACTGTACATTTGATAATAAGACTTTTGTGGCGCTAGAGGATGGAAATTGAGAAATGTACTTAATCCCTCGGTGGTTGTCTATTGACTGGTGGTGTTTCTTCTACAATTGTGGCCCATACCCATCGACTTTTCAGTCTCCAAGTACTGTCACAGTATTGTGCTAATGCTTTATAAGCTATTGGTTTGTTGAGAATTGACGTATTGAGTGGGAGATCTAGTTTCTTGAGATTTTCTTCAAGTTTCTTTCTTTCTTCGTTATAAGTGTTGCATGTGAATAGATAATGTTCAACTGTTTCGACGCCTTCTTGGCAATCGCAGCTTGGGTCTCGAATCTGTTCGAATTTTGATAAGTATTGATTTAATGGTACATGTCCTGACCTTAGTTGTGATATGAACCCGATAGAGTGTTTTTTGAGTTCAGTTAGGTGTTTTAGATGTGCTTTCTGATTTGGTTTGTGGCCCAGACGTTTGATGTCTTGCGGATCTGATATTTGAGAGTTTTTTGACCTCCATTCTTTTATCGCCGTTAGGAAGCTTGCCGCTGTTGGTGTACTTCGGAATGTACTTGGGAGTCTTGTCTTAGCTTTCTTATTAGCGATTTCGTCCACGATTTCGTTGCCATGCACACCCGCGTGTCCTGGGCACCATCTAATCGTGATCCGCATATTCGGGAAAGTCCTATGCAGATACATCATTAGTTTGTAGGTTTCTTTTCTGTCGTCTAAGGTAGTGATAGGAAGCTTGTTTGATCTTAGATCCTTGATGACGCTTTGATTGTCCAAAAGAATTGTGGTTCGTCTTGTGTGTACTGATGCGGTTTGTAACGCCATCGAGAGCCCAAGCTGGACTCCACGATATTCCGCCTGATAGATGCCTCGTGCTCTGGCTGTGCCTAGATGCTCGGCTACTGATTTCTTGGTGTTTTTGCACCATGCAGCTGCTGCGGTGGTGCGTTTGGGGATCCTTGAGCCGTCGGTGAAAATCACTACGTGTTCAAGTGTTGCGGTCAATTTGTTAGCGTTAGTTCTTGCTATCACCTCATTTTCTTGGATGATTGTTGAATAGTTTGATGGTCGTGTCAAGATGTCGGATGGGTCTAAAGGAATTTGCTGGATGAATTCGGCTAATTCTTCGCAAATTGGGTGTTGGAAGAAGCGATGGAAGGGATTATGGTGATGTTTTTGTTTTGAATTCTGTGCCTGTTTGACAAAACTGTAAATAGGGGAATGTGCAGGTTTTGTCAGCGACGTGGCCATGAAATTCATTATTTTGCTTTGGAGCCTGATCTTCGGTGGGATAAGATCAGCGTCGTGTTGTAGGAAAATTGTCGGTGTAGTTGATAGTGCTCCCAGCGCAGCACGGGAGCATGTGTTGTCTATTACCGCTAGTTGTTTGGTGAAGTACTGGGGTGGTTCGAATGGTAACCAGGCTGCAACTCCATAGTCTAAAGCGGTGTGGATGGTCGTGGTAATGAATGTGTTCATTTGTTTAGGTGAGATACCCCATTCGGCTTTAGAAAGATTAGCCAAGAAGCCGGCTCGTTGGCGTCCTTTCACTAGAGTGTCCGTTCTGTGCTGGGAGAAAGAGAGCTTGCTGTCGATGGTAATACCTAGCCACTTTGCTTTCTTTTCGGGTAAGATGTGTTTTCGATCTACAAAACTTATAGTCGGAGGGTCGTCAATATCTTTTGGGCTAAAAATAACCCAGAATGTCTTTTTGACATCAAATATTGCACCATGATCCTGTGCCCATACGTTTTGTCGATATGCAATGGTCTGCATCTGAGATCTTAGCTGATGTTTGTCCGATGCCGTGGTGAGTAGCACGACGTCGTCGACGAAACCAAGCGCCGTTGCGTTTTCATTGTTGTTCGTGGTGTCTAACAATCCATTGTTGTATAGAAGATATAAGAGGGGTGATAAAGGTGAACCTTGAGGTAAGCCATGAGTTAGTTCGAAAGCCTTGGATTCGAATCCATTGAAAGCGAGTGTTGTGCTGCGGTTGTTCAGGAAGTTATGGAGGATGTTGATGGTTTGGCTGTGGAAGCCTTTCCTTTCGAGTATTGATAGTAGCCTGGGGTGGTGGACAGAAGGAAAAGCTGATTTTACATCAGCAAACAAAGCGCCTACTTTGTTACCTTTAGCCCATTCTCTTCGGATCCACGAAACTAGATGTGATAAAGCTTCATGTCCGGATTTGTTTGGTCTTCCACCGTAGTGGCCTTCATTCAGCAGTCGTCTTTTTTCTACCTGTTCTGATAAATGTTTGGTTAGTAATTTTTCGTAGATCTTACTAAGTGTAATTAGCAATGCAATAGGTCTATACGCTGAAGCTGCTGTGTAGTCCGGTTTGCCTGGTTTTGGTATCATGATGGTACGTGCTTGTTTCCAGTCCTGTGGGATCAAGCCTGATTCTGTTATCTGTAGGAACAAGGATCTAACGTGAGCTTTAACTTGTTGCCAAACCTTTTTCCACACCCAGTTCTGTATCATATCTGATCCTGGAGCTTTCAGCGGTGGGACGTCTGATATGACAGCTTTGATGTTCTCTTCCGTTAAGTAATCGAAGAAATCTGGCATGGTTGTTTCGGTTTTCCGTGTGGTTGTATCTAGTGGGAAAGTGAGCACTTCAGTTTCATCTATTCTACACGGTGCTGTCGCTACACATGTAGTATGAAATAGTAACTCAGCCTTTTCATCGTTTGTCGAGCATATTTCTCCTGAGGTGGATATCAGCGTCTTGACTAGCGAAGATGGTTTTCTTCCCGAGGCAAATTTTTTCGCCTGGAAGAGTGTTTCATGAGTTAGTGTAGACAGGTAGTTCTTCCAACTATCCTCCTTCATCTTTTCTATTTTCTTATTGAAAATGTTTCTTGCTTTTCTATACCTCAGTTTGTTTTCGTCGGATTTGTCAGCTTTGAATTGGCGATTAAGTCGGTTAGCCTCTTTCCTGAGAGGGTCAAGGACCTCAGGTCTCCACCATGGCTTGTGTTTGCCAGGTGGAGCCCTGTTCGGTGAGTTGTTGTCCAGCGCTGTGCGGATGGTGCTTCGTAGGTTTCTGTCGAATGTGTCAATTTCGGCCTGTGTGGTTAGTCTTCCTACCTTTGGTAGGGTGGTCCTCAGTTCCAGTAGGAGGGATGCGAGTTCGACTTTATTCCAATTCTTACCCCTCGACGTGGTTTGGGTCTGAGTTGACGTGTCTTGTTGTTTTGTTGAGAATGTTGTAATCAGGGATTGATGATCGGACAGGTGGTTCGTTATGTCGTCCGTGTCAACAAGGCATGCTGATATCGTGTCGTCTAGTTGCTCATTTACCCATACTAAGTCGATGGTGGTGCCTCTAGTTGTTGTGGAGCCTAAACCGTAAGTGGGAACCCCTACTGGTGATCGTAGGTGAAGGTTCCATTTTGACATTAATTCAATTAGGTCGTCCGCTGCTTTGTCTGATACGTCGCTATGGATGGGATTCCACACCGGTGAGTGCAGGTTAGCGTCGGTCACCATGATGGATGGTAGGAGCTGTAATGATAGTGGGAGTTTGGTCATCAGTTCGTCCCAGGCTTCAAAGCCTGAGAAACTTTTTGGTTCATTATAAACATTAGAAATGAGAAAAGTGAAATTATTAATGGTGATCGTGCATGCTGTGATATCCCGTGACGTCGTCGTGATTGGGTTCAGAGCTGCTTGGAGGTCTTTTCTGATATATAAACATGATCTTGGTCTTGAGTTTTTGTTCTTCTCGGCCGGTGTTGGGCTAATCAGTGTCCAGTTGGTCTGATTAGATGGTAGGTAATCAACTCTGTTGATGTGGGGTTCTTGTAAAGCTATGATTGAAAATTTGTTAGTTAGATTGTGATTAAAAAGGGAGTGCATTACGTTGGGTGAGCGATGGCAATTGAGTTGTAGTATCGCTGCTGTATCTTGTGATGTAAGTATTTCGCGGAGACGTTGTTCTATCATTGGGATAGGTTCATGTCTTCGCTGGCTATGATGACGATTTTAGGCGAGCTGCTCGGGTTGTAAGGACCGGCACTCGCTGCAATTCTTGTCGGGCAGGTAGGGCTAAAGGGATGGTGAGTTATGTCCGCTGGGTTTGATGCGAAGAAGACTTTCAAGTTGGTCAAAGGCTCAAGTTGGAGTTTCTTTCTTGCGCACGCGGTACACTTCATATCTGTCTTACCTTTCTGTGGGCAGCAGTGTGAATGATGTTTTTCACCACAGTACGGGCAGAGGGGGTCAATTGGACATGATGGTGCTGTGTGGCCTGATTTTTGGCAGTTGTAGCACCTTTGTGGAGGGGGCCCGCTTTTGAAAGTGAGGTGTTTTCCTCTGCCATGCCAAATTTTATTGGCTACACATTTTTGAGCTTGTTCCTCACTTTTTAACCCAATGAGAATGGATGAGTGACGCTTATTCGGGTCCTCTAGGGCTTTTGGGTTAAGCCATCTCACAAAAAGCATGTCCTTTAAAAGGTTTCCATTACATGCTTGGAGCTCTTCACAATGGTCTTGTACATTAGGGTCAAATGTTGTAGATATGCCGTTCACTATAATCTCGTGGCGAGCTTCTTTCATTGTTAATGTTTTTGAGAATCCCTGTAACCATGTGCGTGGTAAGGCTCTCACTTTTGCTGCGTGAGCTGCAGTTTCGAAGTATACATCGATGTCGTTTGATGGATGGCGTCTTACGCTCTTAATTTCGATGGTCGATTCATCGTCGGAGTTCATTTTTACTTGGTAAGCTCTGAAGGTTGTGTTCAGTTCGTTAATCAGCTTTGCATTCGAGAGGGATGGGTGCGTGATATTAGCACCCGGCTCGTGAATCAAAGTAATCACGTTTGTTGATTTAGCCTTTTGGGCTGGTCTGTGGGGGTGAGATTTTGTCTGTGATGACGTTTTTCCAGATGTGGTGTTGTTGGTTGATGGCGCGTGTTTCGACACTGCCAGTGCATATGATGGGGCCTGTGGGCCTTTCTTTTGTTGTTGTACCGGTTGTGGTTTTCCACTTGTCGTTGTTTGAAGTGACAAGAGCTCCAAGATAGCGTCGAGCTTGTCTTCGGTCTCTTTTCCTTTGAAGATGATCGAACGGCTCTTTTGTTTTGGGCCTGTCAAGGCTTCTGGCGTTGTGAAGTTTCGGCGGGCATCCTCGTACATGACCTGATCGTATACAGCGCCTGTTAATACCAGGATATCGGCCGCTGTCACTACACCAAATGTAATCTTTACCGGGCGGTAAAGAAAACTACTGACATAGAAAAGTCCTGAGGCAACAGGAAGAGAGCTAAAAATCTGAAAAAATATGCTCCTTGTTCCTAGATGTTGGGGCGTCATGATGAGTATTTTTTGTATTTTACACACAGATATTGGTTTATGTACTAACAATAAACGCTGAAAATTATCAAAAACTCACATGTAACAATACCTGAAATTTGGGTCATGAGTATGAAGACAATATTTTGTGGTCTAAAAACTTCAATAACTTTTGCAATTCTGCTCCAAATAACTCGATTTTTGGTTCGTTCAAAAGCTGAACTATTCTCCTTCACACTTCATAATGTTATTAAGGTGCTATCTAGTCATTTAAACACTCTACATATGTTCAAACAGTTCTGCATGAATATCTCTGTAGGATCTTTTTTAGACCAGCTACAGATGTGATGTCTCAATGCAAAATGTAGAGGAAAGGCTCACCTTTTTAATGCACTTCAAACCGAGTGATTTGATTGAGGACTGCAAAAGTTATTGATGTTTGAAGATTCCAAAATCCTGTCTTCAAAATCAAGGGCCAAATTTCAGGTATTGTTACAGGTGGGTTTTTGATGATTCTCAGCCTTTATTGTTAGTACATTAACCAATATCCGTGTGTAAAATACAAAAAAATACTCATCATGACGCCCCAAAATATAGGAACAAGGAGCATATTTTTTCAGATTTTTAGCTCTCTTCCTGTTACCTCAGGACTTTTCTATGTCAGTAGTTTTCTTTACCGCCCAGTAAAGATTACATTTTGTGTAGTGTGTATCGACGTCAACTTGGATCTTTTTCGTCGTTTTCGATTTATTGGCCAATGGGAAGCCTGATTTGACTACTTCCAGGAGCTTGCTGACCAACTCCTTAAGAGATTTGGATTCAGCTCCTGGGCACAGATGAGCGATTCAATTTGATCTAGGAGTTCCCATCAACTCCGTAGCTTGGTTTTCGGCGGTGAGTCCAGCCGAGTCCAACCTGGATCTCTTCTTCGAGAAGTTGCCCAGGTCGGAAACCAGGATTGACGGTGATTGGGTGAGTCCTTGGGACAGACTCTCTTTATCGAAAACAAGGGGGGTAGGAGGGCCAGTCGATTTTTCCTTTTCTTGAGGACCGACTGGGTTAATAAACGCGTTGGACGCGTCGCGAGTTGGAGTATCGACCCTTAGGGTGCTCTGCTCCTTCTGGCCCGTGTCCAGCGCGTCGTCGAACTCCATGTCGTTTGCTATCGCGTGAGGGAGGTGAGTCGAGGGCGGTGAAAAACTTAGGATAATGGAATTTTGAAATCTGGACGAGTACTGGCGCAGTCACGGGTCGGGTCACGTGACTAATTGCGAATTTGTGGTCGAGCTTGTCTCTTGCATAGCGCAGGATGAATGCACATAAGTCGTAATGTTGGAATTACGTTACTGGTTTTAAATCTAGGTATCAAAGTCTGTCATGATCCAGTCTGATGATCAATCGAGTCCAGTGATAACCTGGAAGTTTGATCGATCTGTGACTTCTCATCCTGCTGCACATGTCAATTTACCACCCAATTTACAAGAGTTTGACCAAATTTGCCCACAAAATTGAAAACTTCGGCAATTTGCTCGGGAATTTCAGAATTTCAAGGGAATTTGTTAATAATAGCTTTGAGGACCTCTTTGCCCGTCATCACACGCTATCGTGACAGGCAACCGGGGTGGGCAAAAGCCTAAACTTCAAACAAAAAAATTATTTTGCGGGGCCGTCACAAGTTGTAAGAATGAAATTGTGTTTCTGGTTCTAAATCTAGGTATCAAAGTCTGTCATGGCTGATCACCCGAGTCGGGTGATAACGTGGAAGTTTGATTGTGACCTCTCATTCTGCAGCCTGCACATATTTATATCTGCGAGCGGCGTCTTTCTTCCGGGAAGGCAAGATTATTCAACAAATGTTATCCTCACGGACAATACTTATATGTTTAGCTTTAGGGTTGATTGCTTCGTTCAAATCCCATCCCAAAGAGTGCGCGCCTTCATCTCCTTCACCTTTTCATGGATAGTTTCTTCAGGGGTATTATTGACAAGCTCTTTTTCATCACCTAGCTATTTACAAACTTTTCTGAATGTAGTCCCGAAGTACGATACATGCGCCCCTCCCAATGGACCAATACCTTCTTCAAAGCCTGGTGATGCACCTTTTGTCAGTATTCACGTGTTTTTCGTTTTGTGTATCTAATAATTTCCTCGTGAAAAGAGCGGACACCACGATTTACTGAGATCCAACGGCGCATGGTTGTAGTCGCAAGGGCAAAAGTCTTACAAAAGTGCCATCCACTGTCCGCGGGGTATTCGAGACATGTCAAGAGGTGAGGCACTCTTGTTTACACCAGAAGAATTTTGAATTAAACTTACTGAACGTTTTTAGGAATCGTTCTAATGGTTCCTTGCACGAGTGAGTGGATGGGTTCTTTTCAAGATTTGACATATTCAGGCATTCAACACCTGCTGCGATGTTTTAGGCGCCAATGGCGCGGCAGTGTTTTCCAAAGTAGAACAACCCTTTTCTCAGAGTCTACTCACACATCCAAGTTGAATTGTGGTGTACTTTTTTCACCAGACTCCATTCCTTACACATCTGCCAGAAGCCGTTTTTGACGTATGTTGGGTAGATCTACCATGTACGCAGACTGTTTATGACCTAGAGTATCGCTATTAGGCCTTAGCTCACAATCAGTCTGCACATCTCAGCAAACAGTCTAGGCGATATGAAAGAACTTCAGGTTCGTGGTTCTATCCCTGAAAGAGATTAAGATCAGACTTCAGTCTGATGTAAGAAGACTGATGTATGATCGAAGAAACCACAATCTAATGAAAGGAGATTGTGCGAAACAAATTGAGTTCGATGAAGAAAGAAAACAACACAGTGAGGAAAACAAGTTGTTTATATATAAAACTCATCGAACACAATGTAATGACGTCATCTTCATGATGTTAGAAAGAAATCTATGATCTATTATGCGAATGTAAACATACGCGTCCTGCAATCCAAGAGCCATCGCTACGCGATGCTCAATTATATGCAGCTCGCTGGGGAGTTCGTAGCGTACTCTGTTAGCTACCTCGCCAGCTCATCATCTAGTGGCAAGATACATGTTGTGGGCATAGTCAAGGCGGTTTAAACGTTAGCGAGCCTTCCGTTTTATGTGTTCTAAGACTAACCCCCATCCCGACTGACACCTTGACTGATTTATAGGCACATTGGGCCATCAGTCAGTCAATTCCTCCGAAATTTGTTGGCGGTCCTGGGTGGCATCACATCTTAACGTCTTGTTTGATTTAGCTTTTTGGCCATCTATCCGAAACCAAATTATTAACCTTGTGACGATAGGCACACCACACAGAGGATCTGTTGCCATCGATCACATCAGCAGCTTGTTGGATGACATAGGAGGAGGTTTGGCTTATCTCTTGCAGATGCGACAGGTGGGCTTCTTTTATAGAAAATAGCCTACAAGATGCTGACATTCAATCAAACTCATACATGAATTTTGACATCAGAGCTCTAGATACATGAGTGCAGTGTTCAACAGAACTGCCGAAAATGGTGGACTGGAGACTTTAGTTCCAACCACTTCGATTTTTACGCTTTTGGATGAGTTCATCTTACCTCAGGCATCGAACTCCACCGTGAGTTTTTATTACATACTCGTATTTCAAACGCTTGAGCAACTCCGATCAACAATTTTTGATATCTTGCGACGCATCTAGGGTCCCGCTTATCTGTCCGGAGCTTCAAACATTGCTATCCAAGATGCATGTGGGAGAAAGCGTATCGTAGATCACTTGTACGCCTTGGCTCTGTCTGCATTGGCTGACGAAGATGATAAGGGGTTCGACTGATTGTGTATATCTTTTCTTGGAACCTTAAGTGGAATCATCCTGGATATGGCTACGTACGGTGTGGTGATCTATTTATGATATTAAGCAAAAAAATTAATCATCTTTACTTTACCAGTTTATTAGCAAACTTCAATATAGCAGAGAATTCAAAATTCAGGTTTTCAGATCAATTGAAGCTCTTAGAGGCTTATGTATACTTATTAGCTCATTATTATGTCATCTTATTTCAAAATTATTATTAAGATCAACATAGTTTACTTACAAAGTTATTACAAAAAGACAGAAAAAGAAAAGATAAGAAAAATTCGAAAATATAGGTGTAAAAGTTGGAAAATGGTTTTTAGCTTATTTATAATTAAGTTATGGGTTTTATAAGGTTAGAATATGAAAGAACAACAGTTTATTATACAGGAACAATTTTAATATTCAAGGTTGATAAGGGGAAACAGAGGTTATTAGCAGAAAGGTACTTTTTTGAAGTTGGTAAACAAGGGTTAGGCGTGTAGTTTACATATGTAATGGTGGTAGTGATGGAATTTAAGGTTGCCAAGAGGATTTTCCGGGATTTTTAAGGTTATAGAAGATGATGTCATATTACATGAGCAAGGAAAAGGGAGTAGCAGCTGTGAAAAGTGAAGAAAATAGGTGAAAATCGTCGAAAATGGAGGTTTTCAGCTAATTACATATGTCAAATGACGTCAGAATAAGTTGGTAGATGGCTCATTCAACGCAGAAGAGTGGATTACATAATGTACAACCTTTGAATCATTAGTAACGGAGGTGTATGTAAAAAGTTATAAGGGAAATAAGAAATTGGTGTGAATCTCGAATTTACAGTCACAAGACACATGTAACACCAAAAACCTTAACTTCACAACTCAATATCTTACTCATCACTCATCAGAAGTAGGTCTTATAGGTGTCAGAAATGATCAGTAACACGTGGGCTACAAGATGCACTTTAGTAATCAAGAATTGGAGCACATCTGAAAAAATTCGTAATCTCAAAAATTGGGTTTCAGCTAGTTTACAAGGAAAAAATCACCTGTATCCATCTTAAGAAGTGCTGTACATAACATCATTGCGTCATTGATCACTTTTGGCTGTGAAAATTACATCATACATTAGTAACAAGATCATTACATTGCGTCATTACATGGTTTTTAGGGTTATTTAGGCGGATTTGATTGGTTTTTGAGGCTGTTGACTGTTGTAAAGATTGTTACATGTGGATATAAGTACTCCTTGATGATTTTGGGATTGTAGCGCCCTTTTCTGCATCTTATACCTTTGTTGTAGTGTTATAAATCATCATTTATTTACTATATTTGTACTAAGATCACTTAAATCCGCCCCTTCAAAAGCAAGGAGAAATTTATTTACGTGTGTTAAAGACTACAAGTCTAATTGGGAATAATACTTACAACAGTATTGCTAGTAATAAACATAGTGTGTGACTTTTTTGCGCTTAAAATCTGGGAATAATACTTAACAACAGTATTGCTTTATTTCTCTGGTGCCTTTTATCCTTTTCTCTGTTATCACAAAGTGGTCAGCAAGTGCCCTTGTGCTGGTTTCTTTGAAGAAGGCAGTCTTTAGGCAACTTCTACTATATTACACGTAGTAGATTATCCCTTCTTAGGTGTTGTAAAGCTCTTGTTGAGCTTTAAATACTACAACGGATTGGTTTACGATGCTTTGAGCCATGGTTGACCAGCAAGTCTTGAAACCTTTGACCGCTAACTTAACACAAGTCCCAATTCTCGCAGGGCTTTCTTACCTTCGCGAGCTCGGTGCCCTGGAGAGGGACTTGGGACTAATCGACTACTTTTGGTGGTGGAGCAGGAACCCGAAAAGCCCCGCTCGGGTAAATCCCATATACAGCCTTGTATCTACTGTACTTTTCACGCTACACTATTTCTGAGGAGACGAAAATCTCCATAAGTTCGAATAGAACAACTTTGGTCTTTGAACGAGGTTCATTGAACCTATGTGAGTCTTCTTGCAAGAGAAATGCATTCAAGTGATAAATTTCGAGTGCAAATCAAGGCAGTTACCAGTTAAATCCAGTCAAAACTGATTTAACTGGCTTCAAAATGGACTGGTCGTGAGTACGTTGACGTCAGACAGTCTCACCATCCACCTTCAGTTTCTATGGGGCCTCCTCAGCATTCTACCGACATCGAGGCAAATGTGGATGCCATATTATCAGCTTTTGATCCCGACTTCAATTGGGAAGTTGAAGATGAGCAGCTAACCACCGATGCTCGACATACTGGGCGTGTACGCCTGAGCAAACACATACTTAAGCTGAAATCTAGCTCACTTCAAGCCTTGATATATCGAGTGTTTCGCAAGCGTTACAACCAAGAGGCAAAGCCCCTGCAGGTGTATGTGGTCGAACAATTGGTCAGAGGACATAACGTTTTCTTCCATGCGGGTACAGGGTTTGGGAAAACGAGAATTGCGGAGATTTACTTCTGGTTGCATGGGAAACGTAAAAAACCGCTGTATCTAGTTCTGAACCCTCTAGATGCTCTGGGAGATAACCAGGCACGTAATGTTATCTGTCTAACTGGCAAAGCTTAGGTCAATAATTGAATACTGACAGTCGCAGATCTGCAACTGTGCTTCAGGTGACCGAAAAAATTGGCGCCGGAATAGCTGCTTTCAACTGTACTGCGGAAACATTCACCGAGAAGACGGTAGAAGATATTCAGGACGGTGCTTATACTGTGTTATATGTTGTATGTTCAATTTGATCTTGGTATGCAGCCGTACTATCTCAGGAACTGATCTTGAGATATTTCTGTATATACATAGAGTCCAGAAATATTCCTGAACAACGAAACATTCAGGAATATGTATTTTAGTCAATGGTTCCGTGATAGATTGATCTTAAAAGTCGTCGATGAGGCGCACATGATATATACTTGGGGGATTGTTGAGAGCGGTCATAAAAATTTACCTTGGGTGAAGAGCGTACAAGACGCAGGCATCTTTCGTCCTTCGTATGGCAAGATGGGAATGCGACTAGCAGCCACCGATCGAGTTCCACTGCTGTTAATGTCGGCAACCTGTCCACCAAGGCACCGCGATCTAATCTATGCTAACTTGAAAATCAGAAGAGAGGATATTAAGTACATAGAAGGGGAAATCGCTCGCCCTGAGATTACAATCTTACGATCACCAATGCGGAAGTCTCGAGATTCACTTGAGGATCTCTTAGATCATTTTGTACTCAAGACTGAGCTGATTGATAGTCAAGTTCCACCGACTCTCATCTATTGCAAAACTAGAAAGTTGACTATGACGGCGCTGAAGGTACTCAATCGTGCACGTGGGGTGGCAAAAGGCAAATTTGATCCAAAGAGCACATTTGCACGCAGGTATCATTCAAATACGGGACCTACCGACAAGATAGCAAATATTTCTGATTTTTCGAAATCAGTTTATCCTGTAATCTCCTGTACTTTAGCCTTAGGCCTCGGTCAAAACTGGACTCGAGTTCGACGTGTGTTTCAAATGGGAAGAGCGGACGCTGCCGCTGTTTCACAAATCATTGGGAGATGTGGCCGCAACGGTCAGCCAGGCGTGGCAGTGTTCTACGTTGAAAAGCATCGACACAATGGAAAGAATTCAGTTTCTGAATTCGAAGGGATAAACAAATTTTCAGATGACAACCTGATGGATGGCTTGGCAGTCACTCCAGTTTGCTTACGTATTGCGTTCACACTGTGTAATTTGTATGTTCTCCTATATATATATAGTTAGGAAGCCTGATAGCCGGCTGATGTTTCCATGACTCTACACAGAATTGGAAAGATTCCGATGAGCGTCAATGAGGACATTTATGTAGCAGAGAAAGCACGACAAGCTAAAGCTGGGATGTGTGCTTGTTTCTGCTCTAACTGCAAGCCTGAATCATTCGAACAACTGATTTCACGAATGAAATGGCTCAATAACAACAATTTTGATGCAGGCCTTCAGAAACCTGAGTCCTTACCCAACTCAACTTCTGCACGCTTAAGATTGGAATCGAAAGGTGATGAGGAGGAAGGGCTTGAAGAAACGAACCATGAAAATGATCCGGATGCGCCTATCATCAACCGAAAATTCAATGCTCCACCTCCACTCAGGATTGAGTTAATCCCGCTGGCTGAACAACTAGCTCTGACAATCAATGATCATCATAAAACGGTGATGGGCAAGGCTGATTGCCTAAGGTCATCAAATTATGTTGACGAAGACGATATCAGGCGCATCTTGGATAGGATATACACCATTGAGACTGATAAAGATGTGTATAACATACTTGGTTGTGATATCCTAGCGGGCGGGGTGGCAAAGTTATTCAATTCAATTCAGGAATGGAAGACAGGCACGATAGGATCTCAAGCGATCTCTCAGATGCGCGCGAGGGAAGCCGCGACTCGATTGGAGCAGGGTAGGACTCTGGCTAGACTGCAAAAACAACAAGCAGAAAGAGTAGAACGCGAGTCGAAGATGAAGGAGGCTCGCATTCTAACTGACCAGAAAAGAAAAAAAAACAAAGAAGATAGTCTTGCGGAGAAGGAAGCAAAGAAGCAACGAAAAGAGCAAAGTAATGAAAAGAAGAAGATGGCAGCTAAGCTTAAGGACGAACAAGAAACCCGGCGGATTGTGAACGCGCGGATGATTGCCGGTCTATCAGCAGGAAAAACAATGTGAGTGTGCTTGAAATCCTAATTTGATGACTTGAAGCTAATCGGCTTGATTTGACATAATAGGAGGGAGGTTGAAGCTGATGAAGAAATGATTAGGTCACAGCAAAGTGGCCTAGATAACGCTACACAAGGCTCTTGAGAGCTAGCATGACTTATGTTTTAGCCTACAAAGCTTTCAGGTGCTTAGAACATCAATAAAAAATAATATTTCGTTATCTTATCCGTATCTTTCTGGTTCAAATGATTTATTACAAATGCTTTCAATCAAATCTGGCAAAGTTGTTTGACTTATAAAAATATTTTACTTGTGTATCATAATCAATATAATTTTAGTATCAAAAGTATTTAAAAACTCGTATGAAATGATATAATTTACTGATAATGTGTCTTCTTGAATCTGGATGTGCTGGCTATGAGACTCCGAGTCACATCTATTAGTCTGAGTTTGACTCGTTTCCACTACTATCAACCACTTCATCTTCTTGAGGATGAGAACCGCCTGCAGTTGGCCAATGAAACTTGGCAAGTTTTCCTTCGCGTGCAAACGCACGCAACTTCTTGAGACCACCAGCATACGTATCAGCTGGCCTACCTTTAGGCAGGGTTGAAGCTGGGGTACACTTAGCAAGGTCGTGTTGGTGAGCCATCCTAAGGAAAGTCCTCATAGACGAGTGATTGATGAGGTTGTGGTGGGACTGATACACATCATTTAATCCTGAACGTCCCTTAAGGCGATGGAGAAATTCTTGAAGCTAATGTAGTATGATGAGCATCTGTAGTGGAGAATACAGAAAGATAAAAAAGGACTCACTAAGGGAACATTGATGGAATAGAGATCTTGAAGACGCTTAATTGATGTTCCAGTACCCTGTACAGAAACATATTCAAACATCACATCATTAAAATTAGGTGAGAAAGGACACAAAAAGATTTTTGCTTACGCAGTTATTATAAAAGAATTTTACCCAAAAATTTTGAACCTCAAGGAAGAAGTCCTTTGCTACAAAGTGTCCTTTACGGCCGCTTGGACACACAAGTAAGTTGTATTTAATTACATCAGAAATCTCTTTGGGTAGTGTCTGGTTGAGTAATATGATCAAACGTGGAAGATAGTTGGCGTAATGTTTCAATTGGCTCATTCCATGAGCAATCACACTCCACCTTTTCCAAACATGTATCATACGACCCACATCACCAGCAGACATCAATCGATTTCCTTCAACTACAGTTGCAAAGTCTTGCAACCGTAGGAGGAATCTGAGATGTTTTTCATCATTAGTATCCTCGGCGTTTTGAATAGCAGCTGGGCCAAAAAATTGATCATATGTTTGATCAATCACTGTCTTCATTTTATCGGCAGTCAATTTCACTCGATCTTTTCCTACGGTCTCAACATCAAGTTGCATGACTCGCCTGCAGATGTATTAGCTCATTAGAAACAATTAGCAGTAAGTAATGATATGTATTACTTACTGGATGCACAGGGTAATCGAGCCTTCGTGGAGGCGTTCCATTGATTTGATCATGGCAGTAAAATCTTTCTTGCTGGTTGGCTTGTCATAGCGACCTCCAAGTGCTTCGATTCCTCTCCAAGCGCCCATATCTTTTTGATCAAGATGTGTCCCCCAGTGCCCAAGAAGGATTGCTTGAGAGATGTTCCAAAGAACATGAGCTGCACCAAGTATCATTAGTATATGTTGGAAGCTTTCCGGAGGGCTTGAGCACGGATCTCGTTCCTCGACAACACTCAAAACGATTCTTGCGGTTCCTAAGTCACCTTCCCAGACTTGGGCACAGCTGGAAAACTTTTCTCGAGATAAACCGGTCTGTTGCAATACAGCATTGTATAACTCGCCTACGCCTGCAGTCGAGTTATCGGAAGCCGACATCATCTTGAGCATCATGATATCGGGTTTTTCAGCTGGAAGTTCTTGGACTGGAGGCGGGTGTCGGTATGGGATCTTGCTCGTATCGATAGGTTCAGCTATGTATCTAACCATTACTTGTGCGATTTGAGACTTCAAGGTAAGTTCCCAATCTTGCACTTCGGTAGGTGATGGTAAGATGTTTGAGAGATTAATTTCGTTTTGGCTGGCGTTGTTTAGGATGGCTTTCAGCTTTTCTGAAGTGAAAGCTTCAGGACTGATGGAGATACCTTCAGGGATCTTCGGTCGATGTATGTAGCCCCAAGAGCCATGCCACATAGTACTCTCCTTCTCTACAGATGTGGTATGGATGTGTTCTTGGAAATCAATGTTGTCGAGGGTGATAAAGGGAGCTAGCCAAGTTTCTTCTCCCATGAAAGCGATAATGTTTTTCCTCAATTCCTCTCCTATGTGACGTAAAGCGCGTATAGCTGTCTTTCGATTGACTGCAAGGCCTATGTAGTTCAAATATGCGTTGACTCGTTCAGAAACGCCACATGCAAGCATGGTAAGACCATTTTCAACCTGAAGTGCGTTCACACGCCGATTGCAGATGTTAGCAACCACATTACAGATAGTACGCGCCACCTAGAACATGTTCAATCATATAAATAAGCACAAATTGTCTCAAGATTCCATGAAGACTGGGCTTACCGACTTATGTCGAGTGTTGACATTCTCCGAGTGATCCTTGGATTTGCGGTACACATAACCTTCCCAATTCTCGACGTATTGATCATCCTCTCTTAAAGCTCCAGTGACACCTACATCTGAGACTCCGAGTGGATCAGGATCCACAGCTTTATCTGAATCAGAATCCAATTCCAAGTTGATATTTTGATTGGTAGCAGAGTTCAGAGTGGATTGTGAGTTTGACAATTCTTGAGACGAATCAATAATATCTCTATCTAATTCTAGATTCTGTTGACCAGAATGTTGTGTGTTTGGAGATCCTTCGGTTGAATCATCAATATTTAATTCTAATCTGTTATTTTGATTGAGTGCTGAAGGCAAAGTAGGCGAACATTCTGATTCATCGATAATCATTGAATCCTTATGTCTGATTGCTTTCAGACCTAATTGTAAGTTTGGTGATGTGTTGTACGAATCAATCATAGAACTCGAAGAGGTTGTTCTAGGTGAAATGATGTGTTCCAAAGGCAACACCGCCGGAAGGTGTGTCTTTCCGGAGGACTTCTTTCGCTCGCGACGCTCATCGCGTATCTTATTATCCCGCAGTCGGATGAGGTGACTGTAATCGAAAGCCGATTTGATTAGATTGAATAGAAATGGCATCGAGCTTTCAATTGCATCGTTTTGCTTGTTTAAGACTTGGTGATCAAACATAGAAGGAGTCACTTCAGAGGTAGCAATGTAAAACCCGTTTGGCACCTTTCCGGATGGTGGATGCTGGTTCTGGACCAACATAACTGCCTATATTCACAGAAGATATCACTACCACATCTTTAAAAGAATTAAATTGTAGCAATTTAACACTAACCTGGGACAAGATGTATTGGTTCCAATAGACACGCCCGTCCTTCGTCTTGACAATATTAGCTCGTATTGCATCAAGTACCCTTCCGGAGGACTCGAGATTGTTTGTTGAGGACCATGCATTTTGAGCCCTCACTATCACCAGATCTTTTGCTTTTGACAGGAGGTAAGCTTCAAGGAAGCTTTTAGGGGTGAGAAAATTCGATTTAATGTTTTCCAAGATTCGCTGAATGGCTACCAAAGGAACAGGTGACAATCCTGGGGCCTGAGAAGCCATGGCATTGTGCTGAGATTGAGACATTTGATAATATAAATTGTTTGATCTTTTAAAACATAAAACAAAAATGTATAAGGTAGGATTTGATGTATATGAGACGTAGACTGATATGTGAAGAGTTTTGAACATCAAAAGAAAAAGACTTGGTTTTATTTCAAAAATAAAAGACTTATTGCCTGCACATCAAATTTGAAGTTTCAAAATCTTATTTTGTTTGTTCACAGTGCTCAGAGGCACTTAAAAAATATCTGAATAGGCAGATGTGATAGGAATAGGGCCAGCTAGCTCCAGTTAAAATGCTCACGGGGGTTGATTGAGTGGAAGTGGGACTTTTTGAGGTGGTGAAAAAGTCTCCACGCCAAACTCAAATTTGAGGAGTCCTGCTCGACCACCAGGCCCGGCCGTTTAGTCCTAAGTCCCTCACCAGACCCCCGAGCTCGCGAGGAAAAAGGGTCTGACTGTGGGACTTAGTTAAGTTAGCTTTGACCGTAAGTGGAAGTAGTTGCCGAACCATTATAATCACCAGTGCTTGACTCACACTGTATCTACCGCATCGATATCAGGATCTTACTGTGAAGGTCATTGTAAGTATGACCATTTAAAACTATATCTCTGGTAGAACATTGCACACCTCCTAAAAAACTCTGACTCTTGTCATATCATCAGACAAAGCTCTTTGGAAGTTTGCCCTCCAGTTTCCGTTTCATGTCCAGTTGACGTGGCGAGCTTTTTTTTGGAGTACCATGGATCCTCTTAGTAGGATAAAGAGACTACTTACCTCTTCGGTAGGTCCGGATGATTATCAAAGGAGAAGAAGAACATCAGTAATTGACACGATTTATTGACATTTGAATTTCAGAGCGTACCTACTGAACCACTGTTGATGGTAAATCTTCTTGCCTCTGTATCCTGTCACCAATAATTTCTGACCACTTTTTACACGTTCAGCCTTATGTGTGTGAAAAAGGTCACGCGCCTCAAAGCCACTGCACAACTTCGGGTTTCTGTCAGGATAGGTCTGTTTGACGGGTTAGTATCACGAAAAGCAACAGGGACAAGATAAGCAACACCCATGCTGTAGACAATGATCAAGTCATTCTATCTTGATACTTTGAACAGATGGAGTTTTTCTGGCTATTTTGTAGGACCCCACAAAAGTTTCTTCTTTGACCACAGAGAAAGAAAAGTATGTTAGGCAAAGAATACATACACCTTTAATTGGATACATTTTTATGGGGGATAAGCTATTTGGCTTATGTATCAAAAGTTCTTTTTCTTTGTGTGTAAAAATTCTGAGGACTTGTCTCAATTTTATACCAGCTTCCATGATCTACAACAAAGTAATGTACCATTGCATGCATACACAGCCAACATAGATGCCCTGGATTGAAAAATCCAAGGTATCATCAGATATAAACCCGTGGACAGAATTGGTATCTTTTTTCGCCAAAAGATACCTTGGATCAACACCCCCGACAAGATCTGTCCAAGGGTTTGAATCTGATCCATTCTCTAAAGCTCTTCTAAATGTGAGCATGTCATGTGTTTTATACCTCACATTGACTAGCCTATGGTGGTTGTGGACAGCCAAATTGGACAAAACATTAAATATGCAAAAATCTTGATGAAACACCCTTTGAAAGCCCCGTTAAGCATATCCCAAGCTCCAGTCTGTTGCCCCAATCATAAGGATCACACTTGGGCCTTGGTCATTTCTGATTGATATTGTTTGTTTGTTCATCTTTCTTCTCACATCCATTTTCAAATAATTTTTGCTCTATCAGTCTGTGCCAAATATTGCCCCCCAGATCACGGTAAATCAGTTGATTCAGTGGTCCTTTCATAAGAATTGGAGTTATTCCACTCATGGCCTACATAGATTGGAGTTGAAGAGCTGCAATGTTCCAGAATATGTGATATAGTCTTCCAAAGACATCATTATATATCATTTGTCCAGTAAACCCAACAGTGTGATTCAAGACAAAGATTTTTTTTTCAAACACTTGGTTTGTCACAACCAACCCTGGGGCAGTTACGCCTCTGTGGTGTCCTGCAGAGCATGGCGGAACAGTTTTTTGGACCTGTAACATTACAAAGGAGCGGGGTACTTGTTACAGGGCCTACAGTCAAGCTGCAAGGTCCTAGGATTTTGTGTTTTTTTGAACAGCTAACATCAGTAACATTAGCCCCCTGGGACCGCTGATTAACAATTAGGGTATTCAAATATGTACTGAAAATCTCCAGAAGGTATTTTACAGAACACCAGAACTTTTTTTTTGGTGTGTTCTGGCATTCTGGCATCTGGCAATTTTGAATGCACCAAACTTCCCGAATGTCCACAAAACTCCATGAGTGTGTTATGTACATGATCCAACTCCAACCCCGCGCCCCTCATCCACGCTCTTTGCCACTCACCCCCACCAAATAACAACACCATCAGCTACTCTAATCACTACACTCATCTAGTTGAAATCAATCTACCACTGATCCTGCAATGCCTCAAACAAGCCAGCGTTGACTTTTGAAACACTCCATCCATCTGGCAATTAACAAGCGGAATCAGGTCGCACACACCAACTTTTCAACTCTGATCTTTGTAAAAAAAAGGAATCATGAAAGTCTTTTCATACTTTGGTGCATCCAAGCAATCATCATGCATCAAAACCAACTATCAGAGGCTGCAGTGAATGATGAGCATGATGATGTTGGATTCAAGGCTGAGAGTATACTGGTATCATTGTTGATCATTTCATCATGCATGTGTATTACATATGGTATGCGGAGTGAAAAAAACTAAGATTTGAACAGACTGCTGCAGAAGTTGAACTTTGATTGTTTGCAGAAGGTTTGTGTTTTCCCAAAGTCCAGAAGGGTTCTGGACTTTGAGAAAAAACCTGCTGCAAATTTCCAGAACATATTTGAATACCCTAGGTGTGGCGGTCCCAGGGGTTTTTTTGCCCTATTCCCAATTTGGCAAAGGGTTTCCAAGGTTGTCTCACTGTGAAAATCATTCAACTTCCCCACATTGGAAGAGGAAAATGATTAATAGTACAGTTTGTCATAAAAAGATCCAATACCGCTCACCTGAGCCTCAACACACACACTACATATGTGCAGTACGCTAAGTAAATAGTTTTCTATCATGTACATACAGGTCTGCTCAGCTTTTTGCCCATCAGAATATATAAATCACATGTTATACCACATGTAACTTTTTTCCCTTGAAAAAAATTGTCCCAAGAATTCATTACATATAATTCTGTAGCTACTCAGGCAATATTTTTGAAGCTATTTCTTAGTAACAGAAAGGGTATTACATGCAGTTGAGTTGATGAGATTACACCAAAACATTGAGTCAGTGTATGTAGTCTATCTTTTGAATGCTTTTGTCAATCTGAAAAAAGTTACAGCATGTATTACATATGAATAACTCATCCTGCTGAGCAGATAACTGAGCAGAACTGTATGTACATGATAACCACCAATTCACTGAGCCTGCTACACATATGTAGTGTGGTTGTTATGGATCAGGTGTGGAGTGATAGATCATTTTATGACAAATGATACTCCCAATCATTTTTTCCTGCCCACTTGGGGAAGTTGATTAATGTTTGCAGTGTCTCAACCAATACTCATCCAGACTCATCAAGTCAATTGCTAATCTCCCAAAGAAGACAAATTAACCATTACAAGACCAATTAATATGGGTTGATGCGTTTGAGAACACAACAAGCAAGGGGTGAAGGTGTGGAACCGCTTCAAGACAGCCACCTGTCTGGTTTACAAAGAGTACATGTTTCTTTCTTCCTTTTCCTCAGTTTTTTTGTAATTTAATTTTTCACTTACATGTGCTTGCTTCCCTCCTTTGCTGCTTAACATCAATAGTTACTATTAGTACTACCATCATTCATATCATTGAATTTACAATCTCATCCGTTTCCCATCAATTATTGAATTTTGGATTCCATCATTATGTCCTCCTCCTCTATGGCTTCCAAAACCCCTTCCAGACCTATGAGTACTTGTCGCAGAAATCCCATCATCCGCCCAGGGATGGTTGCACCATTGCCTGATTGTCGTAGACAGATGTCAATAACGTCTGACCTCAAAGATCAACCTCGACAATCAACCAACAAACACAAAGCACCAGCTACCAACCCTGCAGATCCTCCTGAGCCTGTTTCTGAATCCTCCATTGTCTGTCTGAACCCTGAACTCAAGAAAAAGAAAAAGTCTCATTCAAAGAAGAATCAAGTAGCCCCACCGCAAGAACAAGTTGATCCTTCATTAATTTTCATATCATTTTTTGTCTTTTGAAATAAAAACTGATATTTGAATGATGCATCCCCTGATTTCACAGCACGTCTCATCAAATTTCACCAGACAGATGTTAAGAGCGGATTCTGATGAAGACAGTGCCATCAAAACGGTTTGCAAGAGGCACAAGCCAGACAAAGTGGTGGATAACACTGCAGAGTTAGCTCAACTCAGAAGTTACTACAACCCCCGTTCCACCAAGAAGGTGATCTCAGTTACTCATAGCAATTCACACTTCCTTCATTTCTTATCTCTTCTTGTTTCTAACTTTCTATTTTCTGTTTGTATTTCAACTTGTAGGACCAATCGAGTCAGTTTGAGCAACTTGACGGGGAACCTTTGGTCCCTACTCCAATCTGACAAAGGCTGTCCTGGAAGACTCAAGGAAAAGGAAGACAAGGCACTTGGAGTGCCTCTTTTGATTGCAGAGAAACGGGAGAGTAAATTGAAACCAGGGGAACTGGTGAGCACAATCAAGCGCGAGCATGAGTGAGCGCTGTTCTCACTGCGTCACAGCCTGTACACAAATCATAATTCCTATTGTGGCTAATCAAATCATTGAAGTTTCACGTAGATCAATCAGACCAACCATTCTGGCCACAAACAACACCAAATTATCACAACACCAAAGGCCATACTCCCTTATTCTTTCAATGTTATCTCATGCTTGTCCTCGATTGATTCAATTGATTCTCATAACAGTAGTATGAATCAATGAATAAACACCATTTCTTGTAATACCAGTGGTCTGTGATTCGAAGATTTTGCCAAGAAAGAACAAAAGACAAACCAAGGAGAATAAAGGATTTGAATGTTTTCCCTTTTTCTTTTGTATGGCAACGGTGTCATTGGACCAAAAGACCACAATATTTGTGTGACTTAAATCTTTCAAAAATGTGTGTTTCTTTCAATCATCGTGTTATTGTATTTATCTCTCAACTATACATATGTAACTTGACTTTAGAGTAATAAAAATTGCCTTTGAGCTTTAGTTTTGATCAACTAGATCAGATTTAGAAAAATTCAAGTATATCAGTGACTGATTCACTCACAGAAATCAAAAATTGAGAGCAAACCTCAATAGCTTGTTTTGCCTCTAGTGTCTTCTCAACCCCTCAAGCCAATCATATGCCAATGCCTAACTGCATCCTTTGAAAGCGTTTAAGGCTGGTTTAGCTACGGAAGTGTGAGGCAAATTATGCTAAAAATCCTCTGGGATTGGGGAAGAAGGTGACATATTGAACTTGAGGTGCAACAGATTCTTTGAACCAGAATGTCAAGTTTGGAAATGTTTCACTGTGATCTTGATTGTCCAAGATAGTAAAGCCAAAAGATTGATAGAAATGAATTTAAATGTGGCTTGAGTAGCGGCCCAGAAGTTGTGTTAACAGCCTTTAATGCAGGGACTCATTTGGTGAACGGGTGTTTGAGTGTACTCAAAACTTTGTGAAATTGGCCTCATACCGTTCCAAATCTTATGAGCTCTGCAATTCTGATCAAGATGTGTTGTCAATTATAGCTCATCCAAGTTCTTTGACATGGCTTTTGAATCAATTCCTTTGGATTGCTCAATCAACCTCGGTGACCTTGTTTGACTTGTGATTTGCTCTGTCTTGTGCATTTTCTTTGAATCTCAAGTCCTGGAAGATAATTTCTTGCTTCAGATGCTGGTTATTATTATGACAGATCTTTGGTTTTGTTTGGAGGTTTGTAGTGTAGTAGTTGATTCTGATGTGAGGAATTGTGAGCAGTGGTTGCTGGTGGACGTCAACCAA